TCAGAGCTTAATGAATGGTCGAATCGCCATCTCTACATTGTGGAGGCAGAGGAAGATGTGGAGGAAAGTGAATACATGCAGTGGTATTTGAGAATTACAAGGAAGTTGGTGGGGAGGCCTGTGCCTATCTCATCTGAGTTTCAAAGAATGGTAAACTAATTTAGAAAATTTCAATTTCTGTTATCCACATCCTCTCTTATCTCCTTACTCTGTAGTGCACCTCCAATTTTTCATTACAATCTGTTTTTTTGTCGTTGCAGAATGCTGCACTGAGGGAGATTGCCCTTATAGCAGACACCCTTTCAACTCATGGGATGGATGATCAACAGTTACAATCTGTCACAAGAATCCGATATATTACTTATGAATGCTTGAGGGATCAGATTGCAAGTACAGTAGTTGTTGCAACAAACTCACAAAGTGAAGTTGGAAAGAGAGTACGTGGAAAGGAGAGAGTAAGAAGGAAGGGGATGGGCAAACGTAAGCGGAAAGAAGAGATAGAGCAATATTATGCAGCAGGGATACCTGTACAATCTCGGTTACCTGCTACAACTTTTGATGCAGATGACTCTCACCTATATCACATGGGCAATGATGATTTATGTATTACAGTAAGTGAGGATGATCACGGCCGGATATCTCATGTGGCTCACAGTGTCGATGATTTGGAGCTTTGCGAAGATGCTAATGGACTTGACGAATCACACTTCCATCATCTAGCTGAAGAAGATGGCCGGCTCTCCAGTGAAGTAGCAGAAGATAAGCCTCATGCTTCAATTGATGTTGTTCCCCAGGTCTCCCATGAGACTAGAGAGGACATTGCCCAACAGAATGATTACGGGGTTCTTGTTTAGACCAGTAAAGATGAGATTTTTATTCTGTAAGGGATGATATTCTTTCTAACATTTATAACTGTAGGTGCTTGACTAATATTTTGCTCATTTTGGTATTATTTCGTTGCATTATATGTTCCTGTTCATGGGCAGTCAATGATCTTCAGTCTTCCTGGGAACATAGGAAATCCAAGCTTAGGCTTGTTGTAATTAGTTAGCTAGAGACCTTTTTTGGCTTGCTCAATTTTCCTTTTGTTTGGCTGTCGTTTCTGCCATCCTTTACTGATTAAGGAGAAGAATTATGCAGACTCTGAATGCATAAACATGTACTTGTGAATGGTAATATTACGTCCTTAGCTTCTTCAACCTTTATTTATACCTGCATCCTGCAGTTGGACTACCTGCTTTTACCAAGTTTATATTTGTGGGTTGATTTCAACTTCTACTCTTTGTTTTTCTTTTTCTAATGGAAGGATTAAACGGGGAAAAAATGAGACATTCAGCCAATGCTTGTATCACTTCCTGGCAAAAGGTGTAAGTAGCATAGTTACTGGGTCGTTTGATTTGAAGACAAGTTATGATGGGATTAGTTATGTTGTGATTAATTATTCTAGATTTACTTCTTATTGATTGTTTGGTATGCTGTATTAATCCTGAAATTGTCAATTTTAGTTTTATTCTGAGATTACTATTCCGCCATCTGACAAGTATAAGTTATTCTGGTACTATTTTTAATCCTGGGATAACTTATCCCACAATTATTAACCAAACAAGGGATAAAGCGATACTATATTTTTATTCCAGAATTATTTTTGCTTATACCAAACAACCCCTTAAAAGATAAAATGAGAAAAAGTCATCGTTGACTAAGAGGGTATTTTGATTGACTTTTGAAAAGTAGTTTATAAGCTAAAAGCCAAAAGTTATAAGTTGGTATACCCAACTTTTGGCTTTTGACATATTTTTATATTTTTCATGCCTAAAAGTAAGTGTTTTTAAGCACTTTTTATTATTACCAAACACCAAAAAAAACTAGAAAAATGCTTAACAATCAATAAAAACTTAAAATAAGTTAATCCAAACATTATCTAAGTAAGTTGTCTTGAAAGTACTACGATCTCTTAGAAGTTCATGCAACATACACAAAATATGGCACAATGGAAAGAAAAAAAGTACAAAAATAAACATTTACCAATTAGGTGTAGTTATGAATTAGTTTGAAAAAAATCTTTTTGTTTTGTTGAAAATTTGTATGCCAGTAAGGAAATATACTACTTCCTCGGTTCACTTTTGCTTATCCATTATGGACTTTGCACATTTATTAAAAAATAATAAATGAAATACATAATTACCATGATACACATATTAATTGATGCATATTGTTAATGAATTTAAAAAAATAATTTAAAATAAATAATTAATATTGTGAGTATAATCGGAAAAAAAAAATTATCTTCTATTGATATACTAAAAGTGACAAGTAAAATTAAAAATCTATTTTTAGAATATTAAACGAGTAAAAGTGACTCTAGGGATTATGTTTTAGTCTTAAATAACCTAAATATTCAAATATTGCATTTGGGTACAAGTTTAAAATGAAGCCACGTGACCTCAATTAGTTTGAGGTTGAATAGCAGTTACTCCTATTGTTCAGCATAATGCTTGTACAAAGTTATTTTTGGTCCTTTTGAGTTACGGATCACACTGTTTGCTGTTTTCTTAACTACCTCAGCACATCTTTAACAATTAACCAACCACTCCTCAACTACAATATTCAAACCAACTTCCATTCAAACACTTCCCTACGCGCCGCCGTCCACGGTGGTCTTCTCAGCTCTCGTTCTAAGCCACTCCACAACATCTCCGAACACTTTCTCCACATTTTCCTCTGGTTCGCCGATCAGCTGATGCCACATTCCCGGATATATATTCAAAGTCTTGTCATTACTTATCGATCGTCGATACAGCTCCTCCGCACAGGCTGGATCGCAAATGACGTCATCACCGCCGTGTACTATCAGAAATGGCACCTTCACTTCTTCGAATCGCCCCTGTAACTCCCTGCATACCCTCATCAACTCACGCGCCGTCGCTGCGCGTGGCTTCATAAGTGGCCTCTTTGGACTGGCTATTGCCAGCTTCCTCTTCCACTCCTCCTTCGTGAATTACCAAAAAAGTCAAAAAATGAAAAATGCAACATAAGCGAAAAGCTCAAATGATTTAATTACTAGAAAGAAAATAAAATCATATGTATGTTGTTAATTAAATAGTTTTACAATGACTCCTCCTTCATGAATTACCAAAAAAAAGAAAAATGTGAAAAAGGCAACAAAAGAGAAATGCTCAAATGCTTGACTGAAATTACATTTCTCAAAAAAGAAAATAAAATTCATATATATATGTTATTAGTTAAATAGTTTTAAATTAACATTTCCACTCACAGTATATAATTACATATTTTAGAAATACACTTCCTTTGTCCTAATTTATGTTATCGTATTTTACTTTTAGTTTGTTTGAAAAATGATATAGTTACAAGTTTTCAAAAAAAATAAAAATTAGCCTTTTAAAATTCAGTAATTAATCATATATTGAGATAGATAGACTATTTATGTAGTTGTTGTAGACTATTTGTCACAAAATCGTGAATATCAAATTTACACCAACGGATTTCATTTCAAATTTAAATAAAAGCGATTTTATCTCATTACCTTGAACGCAACCATAGGCAACGAGCCGCGAGTGGGAACTACTGGCCAAGTCGGGATCAAAAAAGCGGCAATATCAAGGAGATACTCCAAAGGCCACGCCGGTTTAAACTTATTGCTAATCCCACACATAGCTCCATTCAAAACGACACCGTCGAACGGTCGGCGGGGAGCAGAATCACCCTGCCGGAGAGTGATTAGCAGCGCGATAGCGCCGCCGAGGGACTCAGCGTAAAGGAACGACGGCAGAGACTGCGGCGCGTGGAGATTCCGAAACGAATCGAAGAAACTAATACAGTCGTTAACGACGAGATTTAGGTCCGGTATGTGAGCGGCAAGGCCGTCGGAGAATCCATGGCCTTGGTGATCAATAGCGCAGACGATGAATCCGTGTTTGGCTATGTGAACGGCGGTGAGCTGAACGAACCAGCTGGACTCGCCGGTGAAGCCGTGGACGACACAGACAACGCCGACGATTTTCGCCGGAGGGAGTGGGGTCCACCACTGAGCGAAAAGCTTAAGGCCTCGTGAATTGGTGATGAATTCGGAGTTGTGAGTTACTGAGTGGTGAGAGTAGAATTCGGATTGGCTCAGTGAGCCGAATGGACTCTCCTCGTTTGCTTCTGCAACTGGATGCTTCATGTTTTCACGGCTCGTTGCTATAATGCGCCGAGGGATAGGATATGCATACTGAAATGGGGGACATGTAAAGATGAAGATAATAATGGGGATAGGGAAAAGTAGCGTGTCCCGTCATGTATTGATTGTGCTGACATTTGGAATGAAAAAATTAAATAAATAAAAAATACAAAGAGAGAGGGTAGAATAAAAATACCAACACTTAGGGTGTGTTTGGTACTAAGAAAAATATTTTTCTGGAAAATATTTTTATAAAAAATAAATGGTTTTATCACTTATTTTTTTATTTGGTTGGTGAATGAAAAACGTTTTCGAAATATTTCCTTCAAACCAAACACACCCTTATTGACTGAAAAATTTATATAAATTGAATAATGTTATAAATAGAATTGTATTTAAGGTGAATGTCTATATTTTAGAAAAATTTTAGGATTTGTAACTTGGTGGCTAAGCCACCTTTCACCATAAATAGAGAGGTTTTATTCTATTATAAATCATCTCAAATCAATAAGAATTCTCTCTTTACGTTTCTCTGTAATACTCATCTTATTCTCTTATTGTTTTATAACACGTTATCAGCACGAGACTCTAACCAATTGACTAGAGAGCGGTTATTTTAATTTGTAGATATACTATTAATTAGTTGTCTAATATTTGAGAAATTAAGCCGCCCGTGGAGAGAAAATATAGGAATTTGCGTGAGTCTCCCGCGTGAATGCATTGATATTCATATATTAGGCATCTGCTTTAGTCACTCGGCTTTGGATACATGCATGTTGCTCAACTTCCTTCAGGAGAAGGTAAGTATTTTACCTTATTTTTCTATTTTAAATTCTTGACATTCTATAATTTGGTTTTAAATACAAGCAAAGACAATAAATTTTGATTATAACTCTAATGGAATTTGTGAGAAATTATATGTAATGCCCCATTTCACTAGCTTTTAAATACATATTGCTTAATAATAGCAAGTAGCAACTACAATGATTAAAAAGCAAAAAGAGAAAAAGAAAAAGAGACTTAGTGGGACCGAAGCCTAAGGGAATTAGAGGGGTAATTTTTTTTTCGTGATAAGGGTTGGTAAAAGTCTTTGTCTGAAAAAGTAAAGAGGAAAAAATGAGATCTTAGCAAGAAAACCAAAGCAATTTAATTGCTTTAGGAGTTAGGCAACACAGAGAACGTAGAAAGCCATAAAAGAATTCAAGGTTTTGCAATTTGCCATTCTCGAAACCCAGGTATTCAATTGTTCCAAATTTCCTATGGTTATTATCGCTAGGTGAAAATTTAGTCAAAACCCTTAAATTCTCATTCTATGAAATTATTTTTATACGTAAGTTTAAGTATTCACTGAAATAAGTTGATAGAGCTTTTGAGGTTCATATTTTCTAGTTATGGCAGGGAAGTTTTCTTTGAATGCCCATATGATAAACATTTATCTTTTAGTTAGTGCCAAAGTTAAGTGAGAGATTCTTCCATATCTAGTATTTAATTGTAGAATACATAATTGATGTTATGGGTCTAGAACCAAGGATTTATAATGAGGTCACTTTATCTTTTTGTAAAATCAGTTTACTTGAATTCATGGCCTCGTCATCNNGTGGAAGAATGAAAATATTTAGTTGAAAACTTTACTTGAATAAGTGAGGTGAGAGTTTCTAGATTTATAGCTAAGTAACAACAAGTAAGACTTAATAGCTTATGAATTGATATGGTTAAGCCTATTATTGTAGATTTCGCGTTATCGAATACTCGAAAAACTTGAAGAGACGAATTGCATCTAAAGTTTTAAGGTGAGTTGAGGTTTACTTTCCTAGTAGGGAATTCCATTATAACCCTTGTGCTCCATATGTTAGCTAAAGCTAAGTCATGTCTTCTCGTGATCCAATGCTCATTTCACCTATTCTTATTCAGTACGACATTATATGTGACATGAATATATGCTTATGTGTATTACCAATTGTTATGTGTCTTTAATTGTGATATTCACATTCAGTAGGGAGAAGTGGCCAACCTCCCCCAACGCGAGTGCCATAATGTTAGGGTTACCTATCTCACGCTCACAGGTGCCAACTGTTTGTTGGGGAGATAGGACGACACTCCCCCGTACGTGTTCCCAGATGCTCACGTACGCAGGGCCATTATGCATAACAATTAACTTTGCAAAGTTATATCTTAAAATATATATAACTCAGTTTCTATTTTAGATATCAGTTATGGGCTCAATTTATACGTTAAGTTTCAGTTTTAGCTTACAATTTAGCTTACAATTTCAGTTTCCAGATTATTACTTAGTTGTAAAATTTTATATGATTTATACGATTTTTCGTATATCCCTTTTCTTTCTTATATTTTTCAGAAGGTCTCGCTCCGCCTTTTTAGGAGGTAGCCTATGAGACTTACTGTGTATCCTTTGGTGGTACTTAGCCCGTTTGGGCCTGCTACGTTGTGTGGCAGGTATTGAGGATGTAGGTAACGAGGGACATGGCTAGAGGAGATATTCTAGATTCAGTTTACAAACTCCGTTGATTCATCCCAGCGGTAGCGAACCCTTTTCAGACTATTATTTATAACTTTTTTTACGTTTATTTTATTTCTGAGGGATGCCCCCGTAGGCTATGTATTTTAATTTTTTTTTCCAGATTCTACAGGCTCATGATCTGTTAGTGGGTCAGTATTAAAATATTTTGGAATTTATCCTTTATTTATTATATTTTATCAGTCAGCTTAAGAACTGCAATTTGATTAGAATTAATATTTAAGCATGTTAATTTCTTTGCTATTGAACTTGAAGTTTGATACAAATAGTACAGGGTTCAGTCAACGAGGGGTAAGTGTTGAGTGCCAATCACGTCCCACCCCAGTTTGGGGGCATGACAAGTTGGTATCAGAGCAGCCAGGTTTACGGAGTTCTAGGGAGTCATGAGCCGTGTCTAGCAGTGCCTCAAATATGCGTATGTTGTGTACCATACTTATATTTGGGAGGCTGCATGACATGTTAGGAATTTTTTTTTCTTTCTCTCCTTTGATTCTTATATCGTGCGTTAGAGTTAAACGTTTCAGAATTCTAACACCCATTTATCTCTCGTTTCAGCACAAACAAGATGGTTAGAACAAGATCAACTTCATCCTCTGCTGCTAACAATGTTGAGATACCAGCTGCTAATAATCAAGAAGCAGCACTAGAGGTGCAAGCCGCACTAATAGCACCAGCTGCAGTTAGAGGACGTGGCAGAGGTAGAGGTATAGGTTAAAATGCTAGGGGTAGAGGTGAAAATGCCAGAGGTAGAGGTGAAAATGCCAGAGGTAATCAGGCTCGTGATAGGGCCACAAGACAAGCACAAGCTCTACCTCAGTAGGTTGTTAATGATCGGGTACCACCACATCAGCAGGATAATCGAATTGACAGAATTTTGGACTTTCTGGAGTCCCTAGCCCCTCCGACTGGTGGTCGGGCTGCACCTGTTCATGCTCCTCCTCAGGACCCTCATGATTCAGATGAATAGGTTATAAGAGATGATTTTCAAGCTCCACTTGAGGTACCACCACCAGGTGTCCCTGCAAATATTGCCCAGACAGTGCAGTTACCAACGGGAAAAATTGATCCACATACCTTTCTGAGATTAAACCCTCCTACTTATAATGGTATCGATAAACCAAATGAACCAATGTTATTTTTGGAAGAGATAGAGGAAATATTTATTTCTTTGGGTTGTCTTGAAACACAAGCCACAAAGTTGATTGGGTTTCGATTGAAGGGTGTAGCAGGACAATGGTGGAGAGGTTACAAGAAGGCTAGAGATTCTACATTACCGCCACTTACTTGGCCCCAGTTCAAAGAAGCTTTCAGGGCCAAGTTTTTGCCTAGCAGTCGGATGGATGAGCTCCAATGTTAGTTTGAATATCTTAAACAGGGTACCATGTCAGTGACTAAATATGAGATGGAATTTACCAAATTGGCAGAGTATGCACCTAATTTGATACCGACAGAGAGAGTAAAAGTGAGAAGGTTTATTGAAGGCTTGAATCCACATATGGCAAAAGATATTACTTCATATCAGGATGACAAGACTTATCTTCAGGTTGTCAATATCGCTACGCGTAAGGAGGCTTTTGATAAAATCGCCAGGGAAGCTAGAGATAGCAGCAAGAGGGCTAGAAGAACAAGTATTTATAGTGGATTTTCAGTTGGGGGCAAGAACATGAATCATTCAGCTCACATTCAACCAATGGCTTACTCATCTCCTTATCCAGCTCCACTCAGACATGGCCAGCAGAGTAAGGGTCAGGCCCCTCAGGGGCAAAGTTCAACTAGTCAAGGCCAACCTCGGTTTTCCTGCCATATATGTCCTTCGTGCAGCAAAAGATACCCAGGGAAATGCCTTTTGGGTCAGAAAGGTTGTTTCCACTGACATGATCCGGGTTATATTAAGAGAGACTGTCCACTGCTTGGACAAGCTCCGGGGACAACTCCAACCAGATATGCAACATCCATGGGTAATTCTATAGTTGCACCTCCTCCAGTTCGGGCATCTAATACTCATACTGAGCATGGTGCCAATAGACGTGGAGCTCATGGAGGAGGCGGACCAGCCAGATTCTATGCAGTTCTAGATAAGCAGAATGCTGAGGCGTCTAACAAAGTTATTACAGGTATTCTCCCGGTTTATGTTCGCCTTGCTTATGTATTAGTTGATCCCGATTCAACTTTCTCTTATGTGTCTCCTTATTTTTGTGTCGAGTTTGGAAAAGTACCAGAAAAATTAGGGGTTCTGTTTAAGGTTTCCACACATATAGGGGAATTTGTTAAAGTTGAGTATATATTCAGAAACTGCATCATCACAGTTCAGGGCTGAGAAACATTAGCCGATTTGAACTTGTTAGATATGGTAGACTTTGATATCATAACTGGCATGGACTGGTTATCTTCTTGTCATGCTACAGTTGGTTACCACGCGAAGACGGTTAAATTCTTATTTATTGGGGAAGATCCAATTATAATTATAGGTGAAGTAGGTACACCTGCGGGTAAGTTTATTTCTTACCTTAAGGCTAGAAAACTAGTGAGCAGTGAGTGTTTGGCGTATCTAGCACATGTGTGGGATATGAAAGTTGGCTTCCTAGTGCTTG